ATTAAATAAAAATAATATATTAAGTACAACTTGTTTGTAAGTTTCCTATTTAAAACTTTACAAATAATTTAAATGAGAAGCTTAGTGCAAATTTTACAAGTATGTTCATCTCCATATTAACATTAATCATCACATATTAGCCGAATAACCTCAAGATGTTTTATCCTCTTGAGCCTCAGTATATGGGACTAATGACAGCACATAATTCATGGTATTGTTGTTGAATATTGAGTAAATAACTCCATGTGAAGCACTTGGAACAGTAACTATCACAGAGCTAACAATTATTATGTTACTATTTCAATGCTATTTATGCACATTTATTAGATATATTTAGAATTTTATTCAAGATATCACTGTGGAAGTAGAGTTAATGTATCAGAACAAAGACTTTTAAAAGAAGACCTATAGAAAGCTATATTGCTTTTCTAAATAAACCACTTTGTTCCTATTAGTAAGAGGGAAAATTTTCCATGTTCATGAGTACAATCCTAGCTCTTGGGATGCTGAGGCAGAATGACAAGTTTGAGGCCAGCCTGGGCTACATAGTGAGATCCTGTCTTTAAAAAAAAGAAAAGGAAAATCTATATAAAGAAAGTTGGCCATGGTGATCCCACAGTTTAGGAAGTAGAAGAAGGAGATAAGACACTGAATGTTATCTTTACCATATAGTGAGTTTGAGGCTATTCTGAGTACATGAAACTGTTTTTTTAAAAAAAAAATTACCACTTTACCAAGCCCTGTTTAGCCTAATATCAGGGATCTATGGCAAAACAAAAAATTCAATACTTGATAGCTGGGAGGCTAAGAAAAATAGAGGAAGTGGGGCTAGAATCCAGTATCTCCTAAAGGACTTACCCAAGTGAACTAACTTCTTCAATCACTTCCCAAAGCGCTCAAGACAGGAGCTATTGGGGGCCATATAAGGTTCAAATAAGGTACCTGACATCTATTAAGCTTTATAATTTTTGTAGTTACTTACTTGGCAAATATACAGTGGCATTGTTGTTTTTGGAGATGGAGTCTCATGTTAGCTTGGACTGGCCTTAAACTGGCTAAATAGCTTGAATTCTTGAGCCTCATGATTATGTCACCTGAATTCTGGGTGACTGGGATATAAAGCCCAAGGTGAGAGCCATTTTGAGTGGCCATGACCTGGTAACACAGATAAAGGTTGTAGCACAATAAAGAAAAGATTCAGAGACTGATATTGGGGTTCAAGCTTCAATCTGAAGTTCAGAAAAGCAAAGCAGCCAGCCACTAGCTCTTTCTGTACCTCAGACCAAAATGGTGATCCTGGCTCCACCAATCCTCAGACTGCAATCCCAGACTGCTCCTCTCTTCAACGTGGCTGAAGACTCAATGCTGCCCTATCCTCAATGTGGCTGGAGAATGAATGCCATCTCTGAGACCCTGTTCTTGTCTTTAATATCTCTCATGAGTCCTGAAATTAAAAGGAGCTCTGTTAATCGTTTAGACAGATTCAATCTCGTGTAGCCCTGGGTAGCTTTGAACTCAGAGAGATCCATCTGCCTCTTAATCCTGAGTCTTGGGATGAAAAGTGTGTACTTCCACTGCCTAGCTTCTATAGTAACTAGTGTGGATAGCTTTGCTTTCTGAACCCTCAGGCAAGCTTTATTAAATCATAAATAATATATCACCTCAAAAGGTTACCCCAAATTTTACATTGAGTAGGAGTGTCAGGAGACAAATCCCAAAAGATAATAAAAATATTTCAAAGACAAAGAAAACCAAGACAAACAAAACAGAAAACAAACAGCCTTTAAAGTTCCAATTTTGAACAAAACCCAAAATGTCTTTAGAGATCTGAAAGAAGCAAACAAACCAAACCAAACCAAAGTTTCTAGATCAAAATGCTTTCAGTGCAAATGAACTAAACACTTTTAAACCAAGAACTTTGAAAGTAGACTTTAAAAGTATATATCCTGTTAGGATCTCTAATTTACTAACTCAGAATAAACAAGTAGACTATTGACCAAAACAAGAGGCCTAAGAGCCATAAAAGAACTCACAACCCACCTTGAGGAAGTAACACCAAGAAGCCTGGACTCAATGCTTCCAGGCAGGTAACTGGCTTTCATTCAGATCATTTCTCTGGTGGAAAATAAATCAATGTCAGAGTCCCACATTGTGGCATCAGACACTTTTGAAGTACTAAACACAGCTCTCAACTTAAAGGGAATAAGAGGTAGTTTATTCTGGAGCCATTGTGAATGACCATGGCCTAGGAATATAGACTTAGGTTATTACAAATTCCAATTTCCAATGTGGAAGTGGTTTTATAGTTTTTACAGACCAAAGAAAGTTATAAATCAAGACATGTTTAAAAACGGTGGGGATATCAGAGCGGTGGTTACATCAAGATGGAGGAAGCTTTTGTATAGGCCTCAGGTGATGTCTGGTGACAGACAATCTTAGCTTTTGGGTTGGTGGAAGGTAGTGGTCTGATAAGTTAATAGATTTAAGAAGGTTTTTATTTTCTTCTTCTTCTTTTTTTTTTTTTTTTTTTTTTTTTTTTGGTTTTTCGAGACAAGGTTTCTCTGTATTGTCTTGGAGGCTGTCCTGGAACTCGCTTTGTAGACCAGGCTGACCTCGAACTCACAGAGATCCGCCTGCCTCTGCCTCCCGAGTGCTGGGATTAAAGGCGTGCGCCACCAACGCCTGGCTATTTTCTTCTTTTTAATTTATTAGTCACAGGATATTAGTTCTACCACTCTACAGGTGGACAAGGAATGACTACTGATGGTCTTAAATATAGCCCAAGATGAGGTAGTTAAATCTCTGAACCTGCAACATTTGAAACTCTCAACATCAGTGCAGTTTTAACTAGCCAACTTCTTTCCAGGAATTCTCCTTCACAACACCAACATCATGGCAGAGGTCTGTAGTTAAGCCTCAGTGCCTCACCAACAACACTCCACTCCCCAGGAAACAAGGTTTTTTTTTTTTTTTCTATTAGGGTTACTTAGAGGATGGGCAGGAAGGTGCTACACCACAAGGGGATAAGAAAAGGTTCCTTTGCATTACTAAGTTTGTTTGAAAGATTATTTGCCCTGTGATTTGGGCTGGGAGACAGGTGCTTGGAAAGTCCAGAGTATACTTATAGAAAAATGTTCAGATGGAGAATTTCATGGAGGAGTGGGCCTGGTTAATATGTTACCTGTGAAATGTGATGTGTGTCATTTGTGGAACTAGTTAATATTGACCTGTGGAATGTGATAATAATCTGACTGCCTCTGACTCCTGGGTTGTAGGAGGAAACTGTGTGTTCTTATCAGCCCCCCTCTGTTTAGGGGCCCACTAGCTAGGAGTCATGCTTCTCTGCCTATGTGATATTCTCATTTTCAATGATTTGGTCTATAAATTGTTTAAACTATTCCTTGAAAAATGTAACGATCCTATGGTCAAATACATTTAGGAAGTGGTACATATTGTATTTTGCTCTAACCAGCTCAATGTACATTGACATTTTAAAAGTTTTGAGAAGGCCTAGGAGAAAAAAAAAGATGCTGTATTTTAACATAACATTTCCTAGACCTCTTTTTATCTGAGGACTCCTGTTTATGTCTCAAACTGTGAACATAAAGATGTGTTTCTCCCCCACTCACCATCTATATTCATACTTATGAGTGATGTCATATCAGCCATAAATTAGCATGGGTGAGCAGTTAGTGTATTTTCTCTACAGAGATGGAAAGGGAATAAAGTATAAATATACATGGAGTGGAAGTCATCAATACAGGTTTTTAAGGTGGATAATTTTATAGAGGACCTGCTTTGTAGTTACCTATATGTTATAAAATTAAAGTAATAGGTCCTCTACCTATCATGATGATTTGCCTAACCCTACCCTGATAAATAATCACTATTGACATTTTGGGGAGAATTTTCACAAATATATTTATAACATGAAAGTGAAGTTTGTTTGTGTGAACATGTACACATGCATGCATTCTTTAATTTTATTGTTTTGGTCTTGTATAGCCTAAGCTGTCCATGAGCCCCTGATCCTCCTTCCTCTACACTCCAAGTTCTGGAAACCCAGATGTGCTTTACAATACCAGGTCCCCCTTATTTATTTATTTAAATAGAAATCTGTACTTTATTTTTTATTTTTTATTTTTTGGTTTTTCGAGACAGGGTTTCTCTGTATTGTTTTGGAGGCTGTCCTGGAACTCACTCTGTAGACCAGGCTGGCCTCGAACTCACAGAAATCCACCTGCCTCTGACTCCCTAGTGCTGGGATTAAAGTCGTGCACCACCAACGCCCGGCTGAAATCTGTACTTTAAAATATTAATTTGTTATTTTATGTGAGTATTTTCTCTGTATGTATTGTAAGTACACTGAGTGCATGCCTGGTGCCTGTGTAGATGTAAGAAGACATGGATATGTTGAACTGGAATTATAGGTGGTTGTAAGCTGCCGTGAGTGTTCCTGGAATCCATTCCAGGTTCTCTGCAGGAATAACAAGTGCAGTGAGCCTTCTCTCTAGCCCACTTTTAATTTTAACACATATGAGATCCTACTGTGCAAACTAGTCTACAGCTTATTTTTATATTTGATAATACATTGTAGCTATATTTCCATTTTAGCACATTAATGTTCCCTCTGATTTTATTTCTCATCATTTTAGATAATTTTATAATTCAAAGAGTAAAATAGTTTATTTCAATGCGACTTCAAATAGCAAAAATTTAGTCTATTTTCCACTCTGTGTGTGAATAAGTATGAACTTGCTTAGCTTTTTACTTATTTCTTTGAAAATATATTTAAGAATGATTTTTAAATGTCATATTTCTGGGTAAGGTATTTGTATTTTAGAAATTTCGATAGATATCATTAAATTGTCATTTAAAAAGGCAGTGCCAATTTAAATCCAGGAAATCTTTTCTGTTGTTTAACAACTAGTTTTTTTCCCTACATTTTCTAAAACCAGACTAGGGAAGTTTTATACTGATTGTTTATATTGTTGTTTCAGAACAATGAGATGGTGGAACTACAGAGAATACGAATGAAAGATGAAATACGAGAATATAAATTCCGGGAGACCAGACTCCTTCAGGACTATACAGAACTGGAAGAAGAAAATATTACATTGCAGAAGCTAGTGTCCACATTAAAACAGAACCAGGTAGGGCTTAAGAAAATATTCTTAAAAAGTTATACCACAGATGTATCTATGTTTTCTAATAAATGAGATTCACTGTTCCCTTTCTTTTTTTCCAAAATGTTTAATTTTACTATTTTATGCACGTGTAAGAGCACATACAGGAGTGCAGGTGCTTGCAGGGGCCACAGGCCTCAAATTCCCCTGGAGCCTGAGTTAGAGGCACTTGTGAGACACCTGACACGGATGCTGGCATTGACACCAGGTTCTCTGGATGAGTCCTATACTTTATCTCTTTTTTGTTTTTGTTTTTGGTTTTTGAGACAGGGTTTCTCTGTATTGTTTTGGAGCCTATCCTGGAATTCCTTCAGTAGACCAGGCTTGGTCTCGAACTCACAGAGATCCGCCTGCCTCTGCCTCCCGAGTGCTGGGATTAAAGGCATGCACCACCAACGCCCGGCTTTTTTCTTTTCTTTCTTTCTTTCTTTCTTTTTTTTTTTTTTTTTTACTTGATCTCTTAAGAAAGAACTTGTCAGATTTTTTTATACTTCTTTAATTTGTACCCTGGAATTTCTCGATCTTCCTATGTCAGCTAAAATATATAAGAAAAAAATGTAAGTAGTATAGTTTACAGTGCAGTTAAATTAAGTAAGAAGAAAGTTTGTTTTAGCTCTGTGATAATTTGTTTTAGTAGTAAGTCAAATATAATAAATTATAATAACTTTAACTTCCTGTTGTTTCTGGGTGTACTAACTTATTTTATATAGCATCCCTAAGATCTTCCTATAAAAAACTTGTCTTCTTTCCTTCCCTTCCCTCCCATTTCCTTCTTTAGCTCTCTCCCCTCCTATCCTCTCCCCTCCATTCCTCTCCATTCCCTTTCCTTTCTTTCCCTTCTCCATTCTAAATTGCCCTTCCTTTACCCAATTTCTTCTTTCCATCCTCTTTCCTCTCTCTTCTCTTTCTTTCCTATCTACCCTTTTCTGTCCCTTTCCCCTATCTCTTTTCATCTCTCCTCTCCTCCCTTTCTTTCCCTCTTGTTCTTTGTTTTCTTACCATTTATTTCATGGTAGCAAGCAGGAAAGACATGGCAACAGGAACAAGAACTTAGATGGTCATATTATATTTGCCCCTGGGAAGCAGAAAGTGATCAGGTAATGATCCAGGCTATAAGTTAGGCCTACCCCCACTTATCAACTTCCACCAGCATGACTCTACCTCCTAAAATTTCCACAGCCTTTTCAAACACCACCACTAGGTAACAGTCATGTATTCAAACATGTGAGCCTACAGGGGTATTTTGCATTGAAACCACAACGTTCTGCCTCTAGCCTCTCTAGGCTCATCCGTTACTTGGTGCAAAAATATTTAGTCTAAATCCTACATAATCATATTTGCCATCTGGAGCTTGTGATGAAAGTGGCTGAGCCCTATTCTTCTAGCTCTGCCTCCTGCAGTATATATAACCTCTGTGTTTAAGTGGGCTTCATACCATACCTACAGCTTTCCTTGGCAGAGGTCTCATGATCTGGTGTCTCCAATATTTTGGGTCTCCACTACAATTTAGCGTTCACCTTCATAGCTTCACTCAATTGTAGAATGAAAAATAAAAAGACCCAGAGACTGATATGGGGTTCAAGCTTCAAGATGAAGATCAGAAAAGCAAAGCAGCTGGCCAGTAGCTCTTACCTTTACCTCAGGCTGAAAGGGCTGATCCACAGTCTCTCCCAGACCTCAGACTGTTGCCTCTCCTCAGTATGGCTGGAGAGAATCCTGAGACTGAACATACTGAAGATCCTGCTCCCTCTCTAGTGCTGGGATTAAAGGTGTGGATACCAAGTGCTGAGATCATCTTTGTGTGAGCTGTTTCTCTTAGCACTGAATCAATTTCATGTAGTCAGTGTGGCCTTGAACTAGCAGAGAGATCTGTCTACCTCTTAATACCGAGTCTTCGGATTGAAAGTGTGTGCCTGACTTCTGTGGTTTGTGGCTGACTTTGCTTTCTGAATTCTCAGGCAAACTTTAACAAATAACAAATAATATATCACCACACTCAATGGTTTCTTAGGGTATTCTTTCAGGAACTTTATCCATGCCACAAGCTGCTTGGTCTCAAAAGTCTTTGAAACTGTGGAAGAAGACTTCATGATCCTTTCAGTATTACAACTCTCATGCCTGTAAAACCAGTCCCACATGATTCTAGCAGACACCTTGTGTTGGAGCCTGGTTCCCCCATATCACAGTTGTTATCAGATTCTGTGTGCTGAATCTAGGGAAATTCCCTAGGTAATTGCTTTCCAGGAGGTGGAAATCGCATGGGCATTGGAACAACCCATCAAACTTTGTTTTTTTCACCATGCAAGATCTTTTCTAGCCCAAAGTTCCAAATTCTTTCACATTATCCCCATAAGCTAGTTCCCAATGCTCAAGAACCTCATGGTCAGGTTTGTCATAACAATGATTTTATTTCTCAGTACCAATTTTTGTCTTAGCTACTTTCTTATCTCTGTGACTAAAATACTCTGAAAAAAAGCACAACTTAATGGAGAAAAGGTTCATTTTGTCTTTTAGTGCTTGGATGTAACAACCCCTCATATTAGGAAAGGCATTGTTGCAGATCGAGAAGGCATAGAGGAAGGAAAATGAAACTAGTCAGGTTATAAAGAAGGTCTGTCTTTCATAACTCACTTTTTCCAGTGAGACCTCCATCTTCCAAAGGTTCCATAACCTTACCAAATAGCACCACCAGCTGGTAACTAAGTGTTCAAGCTTATGAGCCTATTGGGAATATTTTACATTCAAACCACAATAGATGGTTTAGTTTTCCTAACTAGTTTACATTTTGAGTCTTCACAGTTATTGCTAGTTGTATTCATGAATCTGTAATATGATAATTCACTTATGAATCAATTATTTGTGCAAAGTAATTCAGCAAAGGTGAACTGAAAGTTCAAATTCTTTCAGAAGGGCTTGCTCTAAAACAAGGTTTAATTTTATTATAATCACTTGATCAGGTTCATCAGTTGTATACCAAACACTATATTAAGCTGTAGAGACATGGGAATCTATAGGGTATTACTTTTCACTTTAGCAAATTTGGAAATAACCAACAATGCACGTTTCTTCTTTCCCCTGTTATCAGGTTGGTATCTAGGTCTAAAATGTTGTTGACTTTTATAGAAATAAGGGTTAAGGGTAAGAGGGGATAGAAAAACTAAAATGGGAAAGTAAATTCACAGATTGAGAAAGCCTGAAAATTGATTTCTGATCATGGCCTCTACCCCTTGCCCTTTCTCCCTGCCTCCAGTTTTGGAGTGTTGCAGGAACAAGATGTCAAATAGGAATGTTGTGGGGAGGGGTTGATCCAACCCATCGGGGGGGGTGAAGAGGAAGAGAGTTGGTCATGGGGGAACAGGAAGTTGAGGGGGTGGGGGTAGAATAGGGGGAAGAGGGAATCATAGGATCGAATACAGATCAGGCACCAGAGCGACCTCGAGTGATCTAAAGGGATAACACCAATTGGCAAGCTAAGCAATAGTGGAGAGACCACCTCGAAAGCCCATTCCTGATAATGAACTTGATGTCTATAACCATCCGGGAGCCTTCATCCTGTGACTGATGGAAGCAGAGGCAAACACACAATCACTGAACTGAACCCAAGGCACCCAGTGACAGAGAGAGAGGAGTGATGAGCAAATTGGCAAAGAATGGGCTGGCAAAACCAGCAGAGACAGCTGATCTGAACAGGGGAGAGCTCTTGGACCCCAGACCGACAGTGGGGAGGCCAGCATGGGACTGATCTGGACCCCCCCAAATGTGAGTGTCAGCGAGAAGGCCTGGGCAACCTATGGGGCCCTGAGCTGTGGATCAGTGTCTATCCCTGGTATACAAACAGTCTTCGTGTGCCTATAGCACAAAGAGGGATGCTCTCTCAGCCTGGACTCTTAGGGGAGTGCCTGGACCCTACCCAGACTCTAGATATCCCCTATGTGGAAGAATTTGGCAAATAAAAGACCCAGAGACAGATATTGGAGTTCAAGCTTCAAGCTGAAGATCAGATAAGCAAAGCAGCCAAGTCAGTAAATCTTACCTCTACCAAGCTGAAATAGCAATCCTGTCTCCACAAATCCTCAGAGGCAAAAGCTCTCAGTTTCTGTCTCCTCCTCCTTATATTCCTTTCTCCACCTAGTCAAATCACTCCTGTCATTACCTCCCTAGTTCTGGGATTAAAGCATGTGATTCCCAAGTATTGGGGTTAAAGAGTTGTTTTGGCTATCCTGGGTTTTTTGTTTTTCCACATAAAGTTAAGTATTGTCATTTCAAGATCTTTGAAGAATTGTACTGGGATTTTGATGGGGATTGCACTGAATCTGTAGATTGCTTTTGATAAGATTGCCATTTTTACTATGTTGAGCCTACCTATCCAAGACCATGGGCGATCTTTCCATTTTCTGGTATCTTCTTTAATTTAGATCCAGCAATTCCACTCTTAGGCATATACCTAAAGGATGCACATTTGTACAACAAGGACATTTGTTCAACTATGTTCATAGCAGCATTATTTGTAATAGCCAGAACCTGGAATCAACCTAGCTGCCCCTCAACCAAAGAATGGATACAAAAAATGTGGTACATTTACACAATAGAGTACTACTCAGAAGAAAAAAAAAAAAACAATGGACTCTTGAAATTTGCAGGCAAATGGATGGAATTAGAAGAAACCATACTAAGTGAGGTAACACAGTCACAGAAAGACAAACATGAGCCTTCACTCATTAGCTGATGGAAGCAGAAGCAGAGATCCACAGCTAAACACTGAGCCAAACTCCTGGAATCCAGTTTCAGAGAGGGAGGAATGTAGAGCAAAGGGGTCAAGATCACGCTGGGAAAACCCACAGAAACAGTTGACCTGAGCAAGTGGGAACTCATGAACCCCAGTCTGACATCTGGGGAAACAACATAGGACCAAACCAGGCCCCCTGAATATGGGTGTCAGCTAGGAGGACTGGGCAGTCTATGAGGCCTCTGGCAGTGGAACCAGGATGCATACCTAGTTCACGAACGGACTTCAGGAGCCCATTTTCCAAGGAAGGATACTCTCTCAGCCTAGACACACTGGGGGGAGGGTGATGACTATCCCAAATGACTTGACAGATTTTGATGATCCCTCATGGAAGGCCTCACCCTCCCTGGGGAGTGGATGGAGAATGGGATGTGGGGGTCGTGGGGGCATGGGAGGATGGGAGGGAGAGGGAACTGGGATTGATATGTAAAATAAGATTGTTTCTAATTTAAATAAAATTTATTTAAAAAACATCTTTTATTCATGTGCCTTACAGAGTTTATTACAAGCTGTAGGGTGGTGAACATTCTATAAAGAATTAATACTTTCCTCATTCCCATACGTAACTAATAACCTTAGGAACAGCTTTTATTCATGAATCTTCTATAATGTGTTCCATGTACCATTGGTCTAGTGACCTTCTATAACACTGAATGCTATTGTTGCTTTCTTCCATTGTATTAACAATTTTCAACTGTACAAGTCGGATCTTACTAGAGATTACAATTTTCACTCCCCTTACAGCAAGATGTTATATGTGTATGAGGAAAAGAAATATGGGAAAAATTGAGATGTTCTTAAGGGGAGAGGATGTATCCTTTCCTTTGTTCTTCTGGGGACACAATCAAGATGACAGAGCCCTCCTCAATTGTGCAAACAGTAGTAGCAGGTTATGTAGCAAGAGAGAAGCTTGGTTCACAGAGTATCTCACAAAGCTGAGATTCCAAGCTTGCCTTAGCTATCTATTCTCATTCTGCTACACAGGTTAAAGTTCTATCTACGGCATTTTCAATTAGGTCTTGTTTATTTAACCCAAATCTACATCCCAACTAAACTGGTACCTCAACATTTTCAAAATAAACAATTGCATTAGGATTATGAAAATGGAGGAGAAATAAAATATATATGAAAGTGATAATAGTCTGCAATCCCTGTTTCAATTTAAACAATAAAAATACAAATAAAACTAAATATACAGTTTATATTAGTATTTAGTAGGATAATATTTATTACTTGTTCTAGTTTTTTTTGAGACAGAGTTTCTCTGTATTGCTTTGGAGGCTGTCCTGGAACTTGCTCTGTAGACCAGGCTGTCCTGGAACTCACAGAGATCCACCTGCCTCTGTCTCCCAAGTGCTGGGATTAAAGGTTTGCACCACCAATGCCCAGCCTTGTTCTAGTTTTTTAGAGTATGTTGTAGTTTTTTAGAGTAGTTACTTATTAAGCAAATGCTTATTGAAGTGTAGAATTTGGTTTTAAACATTGTGGAGGAGCATTGATATACTAAGAGATACCCAGGAGAATAAAAAGGTTCTTAAAGATTTTTTTTATTGAAATGGGATCTCAATATGTAACCCTGACTGGCCTGGAAACTTACTATGTAGTCTATGCTGGCCTCAAAATCACAGAGATCTGCTTACCTCTGCCTCCAGAGTTCTGGGATTAAAGATATATAGCACCATGTGCGCCACAGATAACATGCTTTTTAAAGGGTGGTATGGTTCCATGGAAGACTCTCCAGGAAGGCATACCAGCTCAGAGAGACTGTCATTTATGGTTTCTATGACTAAAGATTGTTTGAGCAGGCTCTTTATTATAATTCAAAAGAATATTGCATTACTAACAGTATAGATATTCATTATTTGGTGTTAATTTTTTACTTTATCCTCAAAATATTTTATTGATATTTTGGTCTTATTTGTGACCAAATAAGTGTTTGTCTGCATACTAAAACTTCATTTTTATTAATGAAATAAAACAGTGGTGGAAAAAAGTTTTTATTGGGTGCTACATATTCAAAAATTTGAAAAATATTACCAAAATATTTTATTGTGTTTATTAGTAAAACAATTGATCTTAATAAATAATGAATCCTTTTGACCACTAGATTCTAAAAAATGTCCTAGTATAGTAGATACCTTTTCATCTCTGCTAGGTGTTAAATTATTTATTTTATTCTTTAAAATATAGTCATATGTATGCATATATACATATATGTATGTGTATCTGTGTAACTATTGTGTGCTACCATAAGAATGTAATATGTAATTTTTATTATTTATTTTGTAGCTGTTACTTAAATGATTTAAGTCTATTAGAATGTTTAGTGGGAGTGTTTATAAGGCCAAAAATTTAATTTTATTAATCTTCTTTAACCTATCTAATTTAGGTTGAATATGAAGGCTTAAAGCATGAAATTAAGCGATTTGAAGAAGAAACAGTGCTATTGAACAGCCAACTGGAAGATGCCATCCGACTGAAAGAAATTGCTGAACATCAGCTGGAAGAAGCCCTTGAGACATTGAAAAATGAAAGAGAGCAAAAAAACAACCTGAGGAAGGAGCTGTCCCAGTACATCAACCTTAGTGATAACCACATCAGCATCTCGGTAGACGGGCTCAAGTTTGCTGAAGATGGGAGTGAGCCAAACAATGATGACAAGATGAATGGACATATCCATGGGCCTCTTGGGAAACTGAACGGAGACTATCGTGCTCCTGCGTCAAGGAAAGGAGAATCCCTGCACCCCGTGTCTGACTTATTCAGTGAGCTAAACATTTCAGAAATTCAGAAATTGAAGCAGCAACTCATGCAGGTAAGAGCTTCATTTAAATCTACAAGAATGAATTTCATGTTGATGGTTTGCTGTGTGCTGTGGGACTTCTGATTCTCAGATTTTTCTTACTAATTTTTTTCACATATTGATTCTTCAGCTTGAAAATTTGGAAGCATGGTATTTTAGAAAGACATGACAGAAGGGATGTTGAAAAGAAGTTTCTCAATCACATCACTTGAGAAATGAGTTGGGGGTAGCTCAATAATAGAGAACTTGCTTAGCAATCTGCAGATCCTGGATTCAATCTGCAGCACCATAAGAAAAGATTCTTTAATTTACAAATTAGATTATAGTGTGGTCTATGAAAAGAAAAATCATTCATATATTTCTGAATGATAAAAAAATTCAAAAGTACTATATGCAAGTAAAATGACAGAAAATATAGCTTTTAGGTTAATGGTTACATTCCCCAAGAACATTTTTAGCTTTAAAACCACAAAGGCCTTCTTAAATAGAAAGTAGCCAAGATTCCACATGGTTATAAACACAAAACAAGTATAAATATGAAAACGAAGTGTTCCAACATGATCCAGTCCTTAAAATTTTAAAATCTTCCAAGCAAATGTCCCGTGAAAGAGTCTGTGTTTTTAGTGTTATCTGACCTTGCTATGTTTTTCTTAATTGAGAACTTTGCCTTCCTAACACACCTTAATAAAATGCCAATGGAAATGCTATCTGGTCAATAGCAGCATCACCTTTGCTTCAAGGGTTATTCACACTATATATTGCTGGGCTATAGTAGGTCTACAGAGCCAGAAATCTTGTTTAATAAACTTATTAGGTGTTAAATTTGAGACTTGATCTTCAGTCGTTCTCATCCTCCCATAGTTCTTCATGCATAATTAGTAGTTAAAGGTTGCTAACACTCTGTAAATGACTTATTTTTATAGAAAAATGAATTTTTCTGGAACGGAACTAGTGATTGAAAAATATCATAAATAACTAGGAGGATAGAGAGTCAATGAAGTTACTTTGTTAGGAAATTTGCTTCTAATAAATCAAGAGTTAACATAGCCAGTATTTTTTACTGGCTCATTGTTTGTGGCTGCTAAAAGAAAATTTGTTTTTGCAATATTTAATTTGAATCAAGATTGGAGAGAAAATAGCTTCATGTAGATTTTAACATGATCACAATATCCAGTTCTGAGTGAGTAATACTTTTCTATATCTTTTTGTTGTTGTTGTTGTTGTTGTTTTGTTTTTTTCGAGACAGGGTTTCTCTGTATTGTTTTGGGGCCTGTCCTGGAACTCGCTTGGTAGACCAGGCTTGGTCTCGAACTCACAGAGATCCACTTGCCTCTGCCTCCCGAGTGCTGGGATTAAAGGCGTGTGCAACCACTGCCTGGCACTTTTCTATATATTATTGCTTGCTTTCTATCAATACAACTAGGTTGATAGAAAACATTTCTGTTTTGAAAAAGTTTCACATGGATCTGGGGGAGAGGGGAAGTGTGGGGAGGGAACTGAGAGAAGTGGAGGGGAAACTGTGATTAGGATGTATTGTATGAGAGAAGTATCTATTTTCAATAGAAATAAAACTACCCCACAAGGGTAGTAAAACTTGGGCATTATTCCTTATTGAATTGATTTAGAACTACACAGAACACATAGGAGAAAGCCCATGCTCTGTTGAATGTTTCCTGTAGTTGCTATAATGAAGCAATGGTAGATTTTAGAAAATATTATATTAAATACAGAGCAGAACCAAAATTGTTCTAAATACGTTACCTCATTTATCAAGACATTTTATCCCTAAATAAACTTGAGACATATCCAGTACATATTATTTTGATTAAGTTTTATGAATAGGCTTTTCCAGAAGGAAAGGCTATTTGGGAAAAGCTTCATTTTATTTAGATAATTTTTCAATTTTAGAGGGAATTTTTTTCATTTTCAAAGAAAAAAGAACATAGAGTTCTCCAAATTCATTTTTTAAACTGAGATCATAATGCCAACAATAGAATATTTAGAAGATTTTTCAGTTTCCTTTCTGAAAAATTCAAATGGCTTGACATACATCAAATTTTATATTATGAATTAGGTCTTTTTATATTGATTACCAGAATCTCCAATAAGGAAACATTTGAATTTAATTTGAAATATTGGGAGCATTGGCTCTTCTGTGGGCATTTACAAATGTATACATATCTGCCCAACTGCATTGAGTTCATTATTGGCTTTGCGTTGAAGTTACTCAGACATTGTCTTCTACCACTGCAGGTAGAACGAGAAAAAGCCATTCTTCTGGCCAACCTCCAAGAGTCACAAACCCAGCTAGAACACACCAAGGGGGCACTGACCGAGCAGCATGAGCGAGTGCACCGACTCACAGAGCATGTCAATGCCATGAGGGGTCTGCAGAATGGCAAGGAGCTCAAGACTGAGCTAGAGTGTGAGAAGGGCAGGAACTCAGCAGAGGAGGCCCACGACTATGAGGTGGATATCAATGGCTTAGAGATCCTTGAGTGCAAATATAGAGTGGCTGTCACTGAGGTTATTGATTTGAAAGCAGAAATTAAGGCCTTAAAAGAGAAATATAATAAATCTGTGGAAAATTATACAGAAGAAAAGACAAAATATGAGAGTAAGATCCAAATGTATGATGAGCAAGTAACAAACCTTGAGAAGACATCTAAAGAGAGTGGTGAAAAGATGGCCCACATGGAGAAGGAGTTGCAAAAAATGACTGGCATAGCCAATGAAAACCACAACACCCTCAATACAGCTCAGGATGAGTTGGTGACATTTAGTGAGGAACTAGCACAGCTTTACCACCATGTATGTCTATGTAATAATGAAACTCCCAACAGGGTCATGTTGGACTACTATAGGCAAAGCAGAGTTACCCGGAGTGGCAGCCTCAAGGGGCCTGATGATCCCAGGGGGCTTTTGTCTCCAAGATTATCCAGGAGGGGTACGTCATCCCCAGTAGAATCAAGGCCATCATCTGAACCAGTTTCAAAAGAAAACACAGAGACTATTAAAGAGCCAAGTCCAACTAAGACTCCTACAATCTCTCCTGTTATTACTGCCCCACCATCATCTCCAGTTTTGGATACAAGTGATATCCGCAAAGAGCCAATGAATATCTACAACCTCAATGCCATAATCAGGGACCAAATCAAACATCTGCAGAAAGCAGTGGACAGATCTTTACAGCTATCTCGTCAAAGAGCAGCAGCCCGAGAGTTGGCTCCCATGATTGATAAGGACAAAGAAGCCTTAATGGAAGAGATTCTCAAGCTGAAGTCCTTGCTAAGCACCAAACGGGAGCAGATTGCCACACTGAGGGCAGTATTGAAAGCCAATAAGCAGGTAATACACTTTTGATGATGAAAACATACTAATAAAAGTTTTCTTAACCAATTTATTCCCTTAATTTTGTTGAATCTCTCCCTCAGAAAATAAATATATAAATAAAATAACATAAAACAAAACAACTGTTTGAAGTGGGTGGGATAGAAGAGCAGTTGTGCACAGCTAGGCAGTGCAGGTGGTGAGGAAGGCAAAGCAGTAACAGAGACCCAGCTGCAGATAAAGCCCAGAAACACAGGCTGTGATAAGCAGAAGCCTGGTGGCCAGTAAGTATGGAAACGGCCCATGGAGGGCCATAGGAGAGGCTTGCCTAGCAGCTTATGTCAACTAAGGAGACAGGGAGGTTGAAAATGGGAGGTGAGCACAGACATGATGAAAATGGTCTGACAGGCAAAGCTAAACCCAACTTTAGATATGGAGATTCAACTCAATTTCTAGGGCTATCACAAGATAGAAATCTGGTGTCTTGTCTTTCATTTCAGGCTTTAACAAATAAGACTTAGTAACCAAATGATCAAGTAGTGGCATCAGGATGAAGGACCATACAGCTGTGGGGATATGAATAGCAGAAGCAGACTTCTTCCAACAAACGAAATAGTTTGGAACTATGAGTGGGGAATGGAGGGATAGAAGAAGGAAGATAGGGAGGGAGAATGAGAAAGAGAGAGAGAGAGAGAGAGAGAGAGAGAGAGAGAGAGAGAGAGAAACACCACTAAATCCTAAAGCCTAGCTGAATTGCTGATCACATATTTGAACTTTTTGTATAGTTAATTGTTTAGTTGTGTGAGAAATGAAGCATTAGGGAATTTTCCCTAAATATAGATCATATCCCTCTGGAATAAGTAGGGTGTTTCAACATGAACCTACCAGACAAATTCTTTAATGACTGATTTGTTTTCTGTTATTGAGTTTTACCTGGGTGTCCTGATATATAGACTGGAAAATAATACTATTTATCTGAAATGATAGCCTCAAAAGATACATATTTGAGAGGAGTGCTGAATAAATATTGGTGTTGATGAAAAGCAGCAGCAACATATGAAATCCTATTTTGCAAACACAGACAATGCTAGTGAATATTAGATTATGGGGGTACATGCTATTTAGAGAATGGAGATTTATTTCCTTTTCAGAGTATCTTCTTCTTTTACTTAAATCTGAGTAAAACAACACCGTTGTGTCATCTACTTTATATTCTTCATCTGTTTCAATGAATCCACAGATACAAAAAGGATATCTATACCACAGGCAGGAATACTGTTCACAATATAAACAAACTTTATATAAACTTAAGGGAAAAATAGGACTTTATTTTTTAAATAAATTCTTATTTAAATTAAAAAACTATCTTGTTTTACATACCAATCCCATTTCCATTTCCCTCCTATCCTCACATGCCCCCCACCAATCCCCCATCCCACCCCCCATCCACTCCCCAGGGAGGGTGAGGCCTCCCATAGGGGATCATCAAAGTCTGTCAAATCCTTTGGGGCAGGACCTAGGCCCTCACCCATGTATCTAGGCTAAGAGAGTATCCCTCCATAGGGAATGGGTTCCCAAAGCATTCTCGTACTAGGGATAAATACTGGTTCCACTGCCAGAGGCCCCATAGACTGCCCACTCCTTCTAGCTGACACCCATGTTCAGAGGGCCTGGTTCAGTCCTGTGCTGGTACCCCAGCTGTCAGACTGAGGTCCATGAGTTCCCACTTACTCAGGATAACTGTTTCTATGGGTTTCCCCAGCATGGTCTTGACCCCTTTGTTCATTCCTCCCTCTCTACAACTGTATTCCAGGAGTTCAGCTCAGTGCAGAGCTACTGGATGAAGGCTCTATGATGACATTTAAGGTAGTCATCAATCTCATTATAGGGGAAGGACATTTAAAGTAGCCTCTCCACTATTGCTTAGATTCTAAGTTAGGGTCATCCTTGTGGATCCCTGGACATTTTCCTAGTGCCAGATTTTTCTTTAAACCTATAATGGCTCCCTCTATTAAGGTATCTCTTTTCTTGCTCTCCTGTATTCTCCCCCTACTCAATCTTTCTGATCCCTCATGTTTTCCTTCCCCATCCCCTTCTCCCCTCCTCTTCCTCCTAACACCACCCTCCCTCCCAATTTTCTCAGGAGTTCTTGACCCTTTCTCCTTCTCCAGGAGACCTTGTATGTCTCTCTTAGGGCAATCCTATGCTGTATGTCTACTATCCATATATAAGTGAGTACATACCAATCTTGTCTTTCTGTGACTGGATTGCCTCACTCATGATGGTTTCTTCTAGTTCCATCCATTTGCCTGCAAATTTCAAGATTTATTTTTTCCCCACTGAGTAGTACCACATTTTCTTTATCCATTCTTTGGTTGAGGGGCATCTGGGTTGCTTCCAGGTTCTGACTATTAGGGATTTGTTGGACTTAAGATTTCTTTGGTTGATGAATCTATTTCCTCTAGTGTATCTTCAATACCTAAGATTCTTTCCTCCATCTCTTGTATTCTGTTGGTTATGCTTGCATCTGTAGTTCCTGATCGTTTACCCAGATTTTCTATTTCCAGCATTTCGTCAATGTTTGCTCTATTGTATTTATTTCAACTTTCAAGTCTTGAACTGTTTGAATTGTTCCCTTCGTCTGTTTGATTTTTTCTTTGCTTTCTTTGCTGTCTTTAAGGGGCTTGTTTATTTCTTGCATTTTTTTGTTTGTCTTTTCCCCCATTTCTTGCATTTTTTCTTCCATTTCTTTAAGGAATTTTCTCATCCTCTTTCAGGGCCTCTATTATCTTCATAGAGTTGTTTTTAAGGCCATTTTCTTCTGCTTCATCTGTGTTGGGATGTTCAGATCTTGCTGGTGTAGAATCCCTAGACTCTGGTGGTGTCATAGTGGTCTTACTGTTGTTGAGTGTGTTCTTATACTGTTGTCTTTTCATCTCTTCTTCCAGTGGGTGAAGGTGGGTACAGGTCCAGGGCTCTGATGGCAGCAGGATCTAGATGGCTTGTTCTGCCCCCAGGTCTCTGGGGGATTCAGTGGACTGGACTATGTGCCTGGGTCGGGGGACTCCAAGGAGGTGGGATGTGGGCAGGAGAAGGCCCAGCACTCACCTCTCCTGGTGGATGCAGGTGGGTCCAAGACTCCAATGGCAGCAGAAACTGGATAGTTTGGTCTTCCCCCTCAAAATAAGACTTTATTTAGCATCATCACTTTACAGAAGTAGAAAATGTTTTTAGGTGCATGAAGAAATTAAGAGAAATCTGACTTCACTTTGAAATTAGTAAAAAGATTATTGATGTAACTGCTGTGTTTCAAAAACCCTATACCATAGAATAGTCATGAGTAACTTATATGTTAAGCCTGACTCATATAACTTCCTTCAAGGGCATAATTTTTTGGAGTATTCTCAGCCTAGACATTCAGATAGCTTTCCTAATCACTTTCTGAAGGTTAAATATCAGCAACATAGAAATATAGTTTTTTAAAAGTTAAGATGCATAATTGAAAAGGTAAGGCTTAACTTGTGAATAAGCATTCATGTGGGGTACAAAATAGGACACAAAAATAAGTTACTAGTAATCTATTGTGAATTTAATACATGCCTTTAAGTTCTTACAAGACAGACTATATAAAGTATTTTAGATTGTTATATACAAAGCCATAAGAATTAAAAAGAGAACAGAGCATTCCTAGCTGAGTTTATATTTTCACAGTGTACTATATTAGAGCCTTGACTTGTAATGGCATGGTAAATTATGTGAAAACATTTCTTGATATGTATTTGGTACTCATTTAAATAATGTTGAACAATTGCTGTAGATTATTATAGTACTTATGTGCCATTAATAGTTTCAAGTATCAATAGATAATATCAGTTAGACATAGACATTGTAGAATGTTAATTATTAAGGCTAATGTGAAAATTCTGTGGTTTAAGAGAAAAAGGGGAGTATATAAATATTATTTTTCTCTATGAATCTTGTTTTATAATTTGGAATTTTCCTCCATAAGCATGATGTCTTCTGATAGAATAAAATAGTTGTTATAAAGTACCAGCTATGTACTTACTTGTGTCAGATGTGAATATTCAACAACAAATACATGGTCTGTATCTTTCACAAACTTTGGGACCCACAGATACATAGTGTAATGTTGCATATTTTATATTCAAGTCATGGGGATATTGCCGTGGAACAACTAACATCTCATATAGGAATTAACAAAAACTTTCCAGAGCAAATATAATTGAAATTGTCCTTAAGGGATAAGAAGTTATTCTCCCATGGGAAGAAGAAATGATTTCAAACAAAAGAACCATATGTAAAGATGGACAAAAGTGTAGAGACAGGATGTTATATTTAAGAAATGCTTGCAAAGGTCTCTGTAGTTGAAAATAAGGGTTAGTAGGATTTTTGTTGTCTCTTGCTCTCTTTTTTCTTTTTTGAAAGTAAATCCTGGAGTGTTTGGGGAGTGTGGTGAATAAAGATGTTAATAAACCTAATGGTTTTTAGATGTTTAATATTTTTAAAAACTTTGTTCAGTCTAAAGATGAATAAAATTTTTAAAGTATTTTTTTATTTAGGTTAGAAACAATCTTGTTTCACATGTTATCCCAGCTCCCTCTCCCTTCCCTCCTCCCCCGACTTCCCCACCAGGTCCCCCAGTCCCCCACTCAATCTCCACTCTGATCCCCAAGGAGGGTGAGGCACTCCATGGTGGAACTCCAGTAACTGTCATTTCATCCAGGGCAGGGCCTAGGCCTTCCCCCAAGAGTCTCGGCTGAGAGAGCCTCCCATATTGTGGCATGGACACTCAAAGTCTATTTGTACGCCAGGGATAAATACTACCCAAAGCCCCATGGATTACCTAGGCCTCCTCACTGAAACCCACATTCAGGGGGTCTGGGTCAGTCCCATTCTTTCCACACAGTCATTAATCTGGGGTCCAAGAGCTCCCCCTTGTTCAGGTCAACTGTTTCTGTGGGTTAAACCAGCCCACTCTTAACTCTTTTGCCCATCAGTTCTCTCTTTCTGACACTGGATTCTAGTTCAGTTCAGTGTTTGTGGGTATCTGCCTCTGCTTTCATCAGTCGCTGGATGAAGGTTCTGTTTCCCCAGCAATTGGCAACTCATGGACCTCAGTCTGACAGCTGGGGATCCAACATAGGACCAAACCAGGCCCCCTGAATGTGGGTATCAGCTAGGAGGACTGAGCAGTCTATGGGGCCTCTGGCAGTGGAACCAGGATGCATACCTAGTGCACAAACGGACTTCGGGGAGCCCATTTCCCATGGAGGGATACTCTCTCGGCCTAGATACACAGGGGAGGGCCTAGGCCCTGTCCCAAATGACTTGACAGATTTTGATAATCCCTCATGGAAGGCCTAACCCTCCTCGGGGAGTGGATGGGGGATCAGATGGGGGTGCCAGTGGGTAGAATGGGAGGGTGGGAGGGAGAGGAAACTGGGATTGATATGTAAAATAAGATTGTTTCTAATTTAAAAAAATTTTTAAAAGACATTATAGTGTTCTGGAAATACCATTAGTAATTTTTATTAGTATTAGATATTTTTGTACTGAAAGGCTATAGTTTAAAGTTTACAAAGCTAGAGTGCTTCCTGCTTGGTTTCAGTGTGCCTGTCTTGTGCTGTGCATCAAACAGGCAGTTTTTAAACATTTGCCAGAGGCACCCATTGATTCAGCTGATGTGGTTTTTATCTCCTCCTGTGGTAGGCTAGCTGTTGATTTAAAACACTGTTCATTCAAAGAACTTCAGAGATTCTCCCAACTCCAAATACAGACTGTTTTAATTCATTCAATATTTTATACACACTCTCTGTCACACACAGAGGGATACACAAATAATTTGATGATAATTCATTGTTTTGAGGAAGTTTTATTTAAAAATTTAGGAAATGCTTGATATTTTGTCACTTCTTTGACTTGAACATAGAGTTCTTTATTTATTTATGTCATAAGTTACAGTGGCTTACACCTTTTATTCTGTTTTAGAACCACAGAACACAGTGACACAAAGTATTTGATTTCTCACATTATTTCATTTGGAATCAGTGGGTTTTTAAAATAACTTCTTGTTAACATCCTTCAAGTTTAAGACTTCTGAAAATCATACACCTTCAACAACCAGCATGTAATATTTACTGAACTACTATCATCACCTTGGCTTCTAATACTGACTGACTCATAGCAGGCTTTAAGGACACTTTAACATTATAGAATTATGACATGATTTGACATTAAAGAAAAATATCTGTGTTCAGTGTGAGTGTGTGTGTGTGTGTGTGTGTGTGGTGTGTGCTTTTGCAAAAATCCAAACTAATCCATTTCTATTTCCATTTATAAGAGCAAAGAGTAGATTTGGCATAAAGAAATGTGCGGGGCAGGTTTTTCTGGTGTGAATTGGTAAGCACTGTGATTTTATGCTTCAGACAGCTGAAGTGGCTCTAGCTAATCTGAAGAACAAATATGAAAATGAAAAGGCAATGGTGACTGAAACAATGACAAAACTGAGGAATGAACTGAAGGCTTTGAAAGAAGATGCTGCAACCTTCTCATCCCTAAGAGCAATGTTTGCAACAAGGTAACTTTTTTCTACCTAAAATTGAGTATTTCACTTGAGAAGAACACTGTCAATACTCATGAATGAATGCATTTGGTTTTCATGAAGAAAATTATGAGATACCACACTGACATATTTAAGATTAGACATGTGTTTATAGAACTCAAGGTTACATGTGACTGAATTTCATGGAGACAGCAAAGAAATCTTTGACCGGGGCTGCAGAGGCTCTGGCAGGAATTGGCTTCTGGATTTCTCACAAAATTCAATGTTTTTTTTTGTTGTTGTTGTTGTAGAATATTATTTTAAGATGTGTTACTTTTGTTTATGCTGTGGAACATTTGTTTAGTGATGCAAATATGTGCTTGGTTAAATAAAATTCACCTGTGTGTGGTCAGGAGGCTAGGTCAGCAACTAGCTGACAGAAGGTGATAGGGAGGAGCCAGGTGGAAAAGGGTTATAAGTTCAAGAGCTTCTAGAGAAAATCAGCAAGAGTAGGGGAGCTACTTGCTAGTCAGCCTCTTTGAGGAGCAAAATTCCACCTCAACCTTTGAATCTTGAGTTCTTTGGAAGGACAGAGATTTAGATAAGTTCCTGTTTTAGCTGTGAAAGAGTTGGTGCCTGAGGGAACAGAATTCCCTCAGGTTGCTGCTCTTGAGGCCTGACCGCTGCTAATAGTGGTGGAATTGCAGTTTGGTTTGGACAGACATGGTGTAAAAGACAGAAATAATAATAATAATAAAAGGACAACAGTATTAGAATATGTGTATTTCTGGTAACTGTGGGGGCAGGACAAAGAATGGAAAGGGAGACAAGGTCAACTTCTTGATGAAAGAAATCAGGATAACATTCAGAATTAAGAGAACACATATTACCTCTTTGAGAAAGAAATTTTAAAAATTTAAAGGGATATTCAAATGCTCAATTTGGCTCATATTTTATTATTACCCTCTTGATGTCCATTTCACAGACATTTGTTTCTTTCAGGTATGGTAATTGCCTTAGGTTATATTTTTAAAATATTTTCAAGTTACCAAAAAATTAACCCAAGGTCCTGGAATTCCTTTTGTTTTTCATTAAACCCCGATTTTTCTCATGATCTACATAGCTCCATAGTCTTGATATTAAAGGTTACCTCCTGGATCTAATGCATTTTAACCATAGTTCCTGGTTTGTTAGTAATCTTTTAAAAATTTATTTATTTTAATTTCATTTTATAGTCCAACCACAATTCTCCCCATCCCTCCTCCTGCCCCCCTGCGTTTTCACACAATATAAACAAATATCCTGCAACATATTACTATTCCTATTTTATTGATAGGAAGTTTAGTGCTCTAAATTGCAATTAAATTTACTATATTAGTTCCCATTATCTATGGGGGAATAAAGCCCTATATATTACTTTGTTTCCCTTATATGTAGATGCATCTAATGAAGCTTAAATTGTACTCTTAAATATAATAATATAAATATAATATTGGTATATAATCATTCTAACAGTATTGCATAATAAAAGTTTTGATACTACAGTGGACATCAATGGAATACCTTTCTAATTAAGTTTCAGTTTAGCTTCACCAGGATTGCTTCCTCACTCTTTTTTGCTTGGGTTCCAGATGTGATGAATATGTCACACAGTTGGACGAGATGCAGAGACAGTTAGCAGCTGCAGAAGATGAGAAGAAGACTCTAAATACTTTATTGCGAATGGCTATCCAGCAAAAGCTCGCCCTGACACAGCGGCTGGAGGACTTAGAGTTTGACCATGAGCAGTCCCGACGCAGCAAAGGCAAACTTGGAAAGAGCAAGATCGGCAGCCCTAAAGTAAGTGGGGAGGCGCCAGCCGCTGTGCCTACCATAGACACTTACCTCCTGCATAGTCAGGGCCCACAGACACCCACCATTCGGGTCAGCAGTGGCACTCAGAGGAAAAGGTATGCATGCAGCTATTGTCATAGTGTGGTACAGTGACAGGTTTTAGTACTGCAAAAATTTATGTACTTTTGTTGTGTAAGATGGAGAAAGGGAAAGAAAAGAAAAAAGTGAAAGCTACTAATGGGCCTTGCTAATGCTGGTCTTTCTGCGACCCCACCCACACATACTGATTAATCATAACCTGATTTTCAAGTGTCTGTTAATGTTTTTGCTGCTGTTTGTGTACATAAATATGTCTTTCCCTAGCCTCCAACCTAAAAATGGGTAGATAAAGGTGAATATTAAAAGTGAAGCTCTGTGAACATGGGCTATAATTTTAAATGTCATGTTTCTGGAAATGATGCCATTTGTTTCTATCATGGGGCAAAGATATGAGTTGGTTCTCTAAGAGAAAAACTTGTCCATAAGACTAAAACTGACGACTAATTGAAAGGTCATTGCTATATTTTATAAGATGGAATAGAATATGTATAATCCTTTCTTAAAAGCACATTTTTGTGACTTTTTTATTAGTCATGATAATATTGCTGAGAAACCACTTTAAAGGATTGTAGTGATGTACTTTTGTAACATTTTACCAAATTCTGGTTGTTGAGTTACTTGCCCTGTTTTAAGTTAATATAGTTAAAGTTTTTTTGTTTGAGGAGCTTTTGTTTAAGAATCAAAAATAATAACATATATTTTCTATTTGTAGTTCAAACTGTCTAACTATAATAAATTTCTATTCCAGTATTCAGAGTAGTTTTCACAAAGAGTTGTATCCTGATATGGAAACTAAAAAATTACAAAAAAATTTGGCTTTCATATTTAAAAGATAATTAAATGCCAATATGAATAATGTTGTCACTGGTGAGGTGTTGAAAGGTAATTAAAGTAAAACTTTTTTGTTTCCTATATGTATTTTTCTTGGATCTCCTGCAAGACAATTTTCACCTTCCCTTTGTGATCAGAGCCGTCCCAGGACTTCAGGGGCTTCCTACCTACAGAATTTATTAAGAGTTCCCCCTGATCCCACCTCCACAGAATCATTTCTTCTGAAGGGTTCCCCTTCCATGAGTGAACTCATCCAAGGGCATCGGCTCAGCAAGGAAAAAAGGTTAACCGTGGCTCCACCAGGTAAACACTTTTTCCTTGGGTGCATGTGATGCAAATGACAGTTAAGTACACAGCTCTCCTTACTTAGCCCACCTTGCAAGTTGAACTGTGATAACATGGGACTTTCATCACTGAAGTGAAAGCTCATTTACAGTTAGCTTCCTGCTTTCTCTTTCCACAGCTAGATACCAGGCATTATCTTAGGATTCTCCAGGAATTTCTTTCTATTAGCCTAGGGAAAGAAGAGGATTGCAGGAATGGGATAGGCAAAGAGAAGTGAGCAGCAGGTACAACACAGGACATATGTGCATCCTGTCTACAGTTCTGTAGTTCATGGCTGTCCCATCTTGATTAGTTTTTGTTTTTTTCTTAACATTGTCAATGTAATTTCAGCAAAAGGAGCCATATTTGTAACAAGCTTTTAAGGGTAATTTCCTTTTGTAGTGACTCAGAATTTCTAAATCCTTGACAGTTCTACTCCTTAGGATCATTCAGGTTTTCGTATCAAGTCCTTATAGTGACACTTGGTTGATGATTACCAGTGTTCCACAGTTTACTTTAACTTCATTGTTTTGTACCTTTCTGCCCCCTATGAAAAGGTCTAAATAAAAATGTGGTTTATGCCTCATCCAGTAAATACAGACTATCGCTTGTGAAGTCCCTGCATGGTTCAAAGGTAGAAAATAAGTCCATGGAACAAAGTAAGCACAAGGGCAGCCATTAACTCTCTATTGCAGGGAATATAAAATTAAAATGAGCTAAAATATTGTTAGCAGTTACAAGAACAGGAATTCCACATTATCATCTGTATTTTTGGCCTTTTGAAAGATTTTTGGGTGTGTGGCAGCTCTAGTTAGGTCGGTATTCATGACTCAGCTGTGCTGTTAAATGGAGTAGGTTCTACACTTTTAGCACTGCCTACTGATAGTACTCAGCTTTCTGTACTTGTTTCTGTATCTTCTTTCCTCCACTTAGCCTCTGAGAGTGCTACCTTTGCCAAATTTTACTTTTTTAAAATTTTAAACTTCAAATTGATCTTAATTCCTTTTTGGGAACTTTATTTGACTTGTACTATCAGCATACAGATTGAGATTAAAATATATGTTAGAGGATGCTGCAGACATGGCTTAGTGGGCAAGAGCACTTGTTGGTCTTGCAGAGAACCTGGGTTCGTTTCCCAGTACCCACATAGTTGGTGGTTTATAACCATCTGTAACTCCACATTCATGGGATCAGACATCCTCTTCTGACTTTCATGGTCACCAGGCATACATATAGTTCACATACATATAAGAAGGCAAATCATACATAAAAATAAAATAAATAAATGTAATACAACATTTTAAAAAATGTAATCTTACAATGTACAGTACATGTTTACTGTTCTGAGAATTTTTGAGGAAGTCAGTAATACTAATAATTTAAAATGGCATAATAGCTAGAATTTGTGCACTCATGCATAAACACATATACATACCTATGCACAAATATATATCTATACACACATATGTACATATATACACACCTATGAACAAGCACATACCTATTCTCATGTATATATACACACACATAAGTAATTAATCTCCTGGGTATTTTTGCTTTCATAACCAACTTCCTACTGTTTTATACCCTTTAAGAAAGTACCTAAAAAAAAAAAAAAAGAAAGAAAGCACCTGAAGTATTCTGTGAGCCACCAAAGAGGTGATGACTTATCAGGGTACCTAATGTAGGTAAAACTCATTAAATATTTCTAGCTTTTTGAAAGAATTTAGTTGTACAGCCTTCTTAGAAAATAACTGGTATAATTAATAAGTAACTCTTTTGTATTTAAATATAAGGTAACATTAATAAGATTAAATGTTAATGAATATTATCAGTAACTATTTTCATTATTGTATGGCTGTTTGGTCCTTATGTCCATGAATATGTATGTATATCATTATCATTACATTATAGAAGCTATTAATATCATATCATAAACTTTTTCATGTTGCTAGTTTTACTTTTAAGATTATTGTATCTTTGAAGATTTATTGTTATTATTTTAAAATTATGTGTATATGTATGTGTGCACATGGGTGTAGGTGCCCTTGGAGGTCAGAAGAGGGCATTGGATCCCCTGGAGCTGTAGTTTCTGATGGTTGTGAACCTTTCAACAAGGGTGCTGGGAACTGAACTTAGGTACTCTAAAAGAGCAGTATGAACTCCTAACTGCTGAGCCATCTCTCCATTCCTTTGTATTTTATTTTTATTTCATATGCTATCATCACATAAACCATTCTTTCCATTCTTATCCATTATTTTGTATATAAGTAGGAAGCTACTTGGCATAGCTTCATATTTTCAACTTCTCATCTTTTTGTTCTTGGGCTCAGAAGATGATGGGTTAAAAGTTAGCTATCTTTATGGTTTTTGGTCTGTTTTAGAATAGTTGTATTATTATAATATCTTTCCTACAAAACTTTTCACACATTCTAAATATTTCTAATTCTTTACATACTCTATAATATCTTTATCTTTAAGGTAATTAGCATACTTGGGTGAGAGTACCATTACATTGTCTTAAATTCTTTAATTTGAAAAACTAGAAAAAATCATTAGATATGAGTACTATATACAAGATCAAAACTATAAATACTATGGAATTCAGAATCTACGGATCTAAAAGTTGCTTCCATGAAAACCTAGAATGTTGATCAACTTTGTATATCTAGGCATTTATTTGTAGTGAAAATAATAATAGAGCAAAGAAAGCAAAGTGTTATAACTAGAGGGATAATTTCACCAACCAGCTTATTTATTAATAATTTCTTATTTATATGTATGAGTGTTTCACCTGCATATGTATCTGTGTACTAACTACATGCATATCTAATATAGGCTTGGAGCTAGAAGAGAGGGTCAGATTCCCTGTTAATAGAGTTACAGATATTTGTGAGCTGCCATGTGGATGCAGGGGATCAAAACTTAGTCCTAGGTTAGGTTAGCCATCTACCTATCCCCTAAATCAGCCAGTTTAAGCCTTAATAAATTCTTATCAAATAAATATTTTCTAAAGGATTCTAGTAATGGAACTACTATAGAAATTGACTAATTGTACACACCAAGCATAGTTTCTAAAAATATCTACTTTATTGACAATATAAATTTTATTAATGTGAAATATTGTTTGAGACATATTTATTTAGCTTTTAATCATAGTTGTAGCATAAGTTATTGACTACTCTAAAAATTTCTGACAGATAACAATATATATTATTTGTAAGGGTTAGTTGCCTATTTTAGAATTTTTTGATAATCATTTTGTAAAATACATATATAACATTTTATTGTAATAAACAGATAAGGACATTTATTTTTCCATTGTGGATTCTTGATGTAATTATGTCAATAAAAATGAAATTAATCTTTTTTATCCTTAGGTGGAGGGATTGATTGATAGATCTCACTTAAATATTTAAGATAGAGAACATGAAATGTTTTTGCCTTCTATAATAAATAAATAAAAACACACTTAAGTAGGTTCATTTTATGAGATTGTCAGCATACAATCCCACCTTATTTTTTATTATTAATTTTTCCAGCCCATCACAGTTTCCCCTTCCTTCTTCCTCTTCCCCAAGTCCCTCTTCTAACCTCTCCTCTTCCCCCACCCCCAATTCACTCTTCCCCTTTTCTATTCAGAAAATGGTAGGTCTCCCATGTATAGCAACCAGTCATGGCATATCAGGGTGCTTTTAGATGAGGCACCTTCTCTCCTAACAAGGCAATCCAGTAGGGGAAAGGACCCAAAAGCAGGTAACAGTCAGAGACAGTCCCTGTTCCACACTGTTAGAAGTCCCATAAGGAAACCAAGATGTACAACTACAACATATGCAGAGGGCCTAGTTCAGACCCATGCAAACTCTCTGGTTGACAGTTCAGTCTCTGTGATCCCCTATGAGCCCAAGCTAGTTGGTTCTGTGGGTTTTCTTGTAGTGTCCTTGGCCCCTCTGGCTTCCACAATTCTTCCTCCTCTCTTCCATAGGATTCCCTGAAGTATGCCTAATATTTGGCTGTGGGTCTCTTTATGTTTCCATCAGTTCCAGGGTGAAGCCTCTCTGATGACAATTGGACTAGGCACTGATCTTCATATAACAGAATATCACTAGAAATCATCTCATTGACTTTTTTTTGCCATTCATGTTTGATTCTATCCTAGGTCTCTGGACTGTCCAGTCTCTGGGTCCTAGCCCCCCAGACAGTGTCAGAAATGGTCTCAAGGTGGACCAGACATTGGTTGGCCACTCCCTTAATTTATGTGCCACCTTTACCATAATACATCTTGTAGGCAGGGTAAATTGTAGGTTAAAGATTATGTGACTGGGCTGGGGGTCTCATTCCCTCCGATGGAAGTCTTGCCTGGTTACAGGAGACTCCATATCCTTCATTGCTAGAAGTCTTACCTAGGGTCATCCTCATAGATTCTGAGGAGTTTCCATTGCCCTAGGTTTCTAGCTCATCCCAGAGATTCCCCAGGTTCCAATTGTCTTTCCCAGTACTCTCTCCCTCCATTCTCCCCTCAACAGATCCCTCCTGTTCCCATGCCCACCCCTGCATCCAGACCCCTCCCATCCACCTGTGATGTCTATTCTATTTATCCTTCACAGTGGGATCCATGTGTCGCCCATTGAGCCCTCCTTGTTACTTGGCTTCTTTGGGTCTTTGAATTGTAGCATGATTATCCTATACTTTACAGCTAACATCCACCCATAGTAAAGTACATACCATGTGTATTTTTCTGGGCCTGGGTTACCTCACTGAGGATGATCTTTTCTAGTTCCATATATTTGCTGGCAAATTTCATGATGTTATTGTTTTTAACAACTGAGTAATACTCCGTTGTTTAAATGTACCGCACTTTCTTTATACATTCTTCAGTTGATGGACATCTAGGTTGTTTCCAGTTTTCTGGCTACTGTGAATAAAGCTGCTATTAATAAAGTTGGGTCCTGGTGGTATGGTAGAGTATCCTTTGGGTA